CCAAAGAGTGAGTTCCTGAGAAAACTGAAGTTAGTACCAGCGAAAGCCAAGAGTTAGTATCAGACGTCGGTAAGGCCCTCCTGTTCTACTTGGACTTTCCGAGTGCCAATATCAAGTAAGAATTTCTATTCTCTTACTGGGAATTCTACCAGAACTATCCAGAACCATTGATTTGGAATCGAAGACAAGATGACCAGCCCCTGGATGAAGCAACAATTGATGTTACTGTCCTTGTAAGTAGTTAAGAATTACTATTAAGAAGATTTTGCAACTAAGAAGATTTAATACGTAACCATAAGAAGAATTTATCAAAAAACACATTTCTACAAAGAAGATTTTTACTGAAGAATCCAAGTTTGCGTTTTTCAATTGAAATCTAATTTTGTGCATAGTTTTGTTTTCACCTATTTTTACTCATTTTTATCTTGCATCTTTTATACATTTTATTTTATGCCTTTTGTTAATCGTTTTGTGCCTACCGAAAGAGAAAGATCTCCTATAAGAATGGCTACTTCAAATCAACAGAATGTCGTTCAGCATGACAATCCTCAATTAATTTTTAACATGCTAAAAGATCCAATTCCTATATTTGATGGCTATTCAAACAATCTTTCTACATTTTTAAGAAAGTCTACAGAATTTTATAACGCTTTACCTATTTCCTATAAAGGACATGCTTTCACATTTATTAAGTCTAGATTACAAGGTGAACCTGCCGAATTTACAGAACAAACTAATGCTATTACTATTGAACATCTTTCTGCTATTTTAACCACTAGATTTAAAGATTACCAAACTGAAGAAAATTTGACTCGTCAACTTTTTGATATTCATTCCCCAGGCTATAGCGTTTTACATTCAGAAATTTGTAACAAACTTCATGAATTACGAGAATTTGCTCGATTAAATTATCCTCCAGAAATTGCCCCAGCAATGATTGCTAGATATGAACAGATGGCTTTAACCTCCTTTTTATGCGGAATCAATTCCAAATATCATTGCGTTGCATTACAACCACCCCCTAAAAATATAGATGAAGCTAAGAGACGGTGCCAAGAACACGACAACCTTTTGCAAACCAAACAATATAAAGAGTTTCTCGTCACTAAGTCTAAGCCTCAGACAAATAAACCTGTTAGACCGCCAATGCAGTCATATAGACCTAACTTTCCCAATTTTGCTGATTTCTCTCATAATCCCTCTACTTCTCGTCCCGCTATTACTTATGAACAACAATTTAGCAACCTACAATCATTTCACAATTCTCGTCCAACTTTTAGACAACCATTCTATACTTCCCCACAAAGTCGTCAATTTTCGAACGCATTCAACCCCTCTCAACACAATTTTGCAAATCGTCCACAATTTCCTATGAATAGGCTCCCTGTCACCAATACTTCAAGACAAAATAATCAAAATCATCCTACGCCTATGTCAACTTCGACGATCCAGTCACGTAGACCTTTTGTAAGACCCAATTTCTTTTCGAATAATGGTCAACGCCCTAGCATAGCTGTTCAAGAACTTACTAATAACGAATCCGAACCCACTAATGAAAGCTCTAAAGAAAATGTAGCAAACCCATTCGAATCTTATTATTCTGAAGCTTGTTGTCCAGAAAATCTCGTAGAATATCAATTTCAATATTATGAAAACGATTATTCTCAAGAAAATTTTCAATCAACTCCTCATCAGCGATCCCCAGAATAGACATTGATTTAAACTCTCATGAAAATATTCATTTCCCATATCTCTACAATGAAGCTTTGGATTTACTTATTGTTATATATACAGGTGCTTCTGCATCTCTTATGAATCCCCAAATTGCTTACGACAAATTTCCGGATTATATTTATCCAAAATGTTTTTCTATCAAAACAGCAATTGAAACCAAAATTGGTACTCACGCTTGTAAGATCCCTATCTTTGATGATCTAGGTATTCCAACAGAAGTTGAATTCTTATTACTCCCATGGCATCAAAAATATGATTGCCTTTTAGGTTACTATGACCTACAGAAATTCCACAGTAATTTGTACATTTCCCATAATTTACTTTCCATCGAAAACTTTGAAATTCTATTCATACTCATAAGGAACCAATCAAAATTCCCAATCAGATTTTCGACACCATTCCTATAGACACAAATGAAGATTCTGTATTTATCCCCCCTGTCAAATACTCGGATTCAGAAAATTACACTCCTAGTTATATTTGTAACCCATACAACAGATACGTTTAGGTAATGCAAGAAATATTCATCACTATCACAAAGTCTATTTCTCCATTAACCTCACTGATATTTCACATACCATGCAAATGTTTTCTTACCTAATTGAATTACATAATAAAATTCCCACCAGCTTAGATAATCAGTTTCAAATATTATACGAAGATACTTATTCCAAGTTCGAAACTTTAACACACCATAAAATCAAACGCGGACTTATAAACGGTTTAGGTTCTATAATTCATTTTATTTCTGGCAACCTCGATCAAAACGATTTAGATCTTATTTTGAAAAATCAGAACGCTTTACGAAATAACCAGAATAGCTTGCTTGAAAGTCATCAGAAAACTATCACGTTTTGCAAAGCTCTTCAAGAAACTTTTGAAAATAATACAAGAAGAATTCAGTCAATTATTATTCATAATGTCCAAACTATTGAACATCAGTCTTTGTTATCACACCAGACGATCCATCAGATATCTATTATTACAAATTTGCAACGATTTAATTCATATCTAAATTCACTTTTATTAGTTCTACAATTGAACCAGCAAACAGGTCTCAACACCTTACAATTATCTCATCATCAGATTACCTTACTTATTGAACATTTAAAATCCATTTATAAAGACGAAGAATTATTGCCATTCGACAAAATACATTTATTTGATCACTTATACTTTTAGAAAACCAACTTATTTTTGTAGTTGAGTTTCCCATTTTAGATGTTAGAACTTATTCCTTATTCAAGTTATTTTCAATCACAGTCAAAAAAGAAGCGTCACTCGTATTCATATCCTCAGCAATGTTACGTGTGCTACTTGATGGTTCGTCGGCAACTCGCAGAAGGACCTCTTCTTTAAATTCGACCGTTCTTACGGCAACATGCATGTTGGTTTTAAACATGCCTGTCTCGGAGAGCCGCCGATGAATAGCAATAAACTTTTTGTATCCCGGATGCTGTCGTTCGGGATAACGTTCTTGATACAACCGCGCTGCTGCTCGTGCATTGCAGTTTGTTGCTCCGTATGCCAAATGCATATCCACCAATTCTTGATTGGTAAAGTTTTCCATTAGCAACAATTAATTTTTGTTAAATTCTTGCAAACTTCACAAATACGATAGCACGACTAAGGCGATATGGAATGCAGCTACAAAAAACACTCTCTGTTATCCTTTTTAAAGATAACAACACACAAGCGCCGGATATGGGTCCCTATACTCAAATGTTTTCTACTGTTACACTGAATAACCCCTACAAGTTTGATCCCATAGTACTGAAACACCCTGTATTTAAAACTTGCCGTAGCAGTAAAAATGTAATCACAAAAAGTTTTTGAAATATAATTAATGTATATTAATAACGTAGATATATTGTAATTGAAAATCCATTTCGCAAAAAGTTACTGAGAGGTATATAATTTTGAGAAACGGCAAACACAAACACATAACAACCGTCAGTTATAAGATCGATGCCTCGAGATCGCTTTTTAAAAAGTTTATTTTCGAAAATACAAAACTGAAAAATGTACTTTTACAAAATTATTACAATGGTTATTATGATGTTAACAGTACAAAGGCTTAAATCTGACTTCACGGAAGTTGAATAGGATGACTTCTGGTTGCTGAATACTTCTATTTCTGAGCTTCCTCCTCTTCATGATGGTTTTCCAAAATGCGTAGACACCTAAGAGTAATATACACCTATATATTATCAGTGTCCAGGCACTGGGTATACAAAAGTCTGCAGGTTTCTTGAAGTTGGGCTTGTTGTTGATAAAACGAATGTAATTTTGTTGCCCACAGAATAACTGGAGATTTTGATTATTTTTTCAAAAGTTGGGATGTTATCTAGTAAAACTGGCATCGCAAATTTTTCCTGTCCTAATCTTGAGGTCAGTAGTTTCAGTTCTCCAAAAATTTCTTCGGTTGGAATAATGCTAGAGTGAATTGTTCCAAGACGTGCAAAAATTATTGAATTTTCAACGTCTTGTAATATTGAGTTACGTCGTAGCTGTTCATAATTTGAGATACTGTGTCTACTATGAATTTATGCTGATCTGAATCGATTGTAGCACGATGAACAATTGCATATATGGTATTAATTTTATTATTCAGCAATTGTTCATCATGACAGACTTGCTGAACAGTTTTATTGAACTTATCAATAAGAAACACTGACAGGGCATTATTCTGTGTGACACTGTTAGTCAATTCTCTTTGATTATTTTGAAGCTATCGAATTAGATTTTCGAAACGTTCGCTATCATTGGCGTCAAGGTTTCCAGTTACTGATTTGAATATCGACCCAATGCCATTTAATATGCCTCTTTTTCGTCGCTTTGTATGGGGAAATATATTATGTTACTTTTGTTCTACCTGTCCCTGAACAAGTTTTAATGCTCTGAAATAATTGGACAAATATGTAGTGACATTTAAATTCGAAGAAATGGTTTTTTTTCTATACGTGAGGAGGAAATCGATAATTTTTCAATTTCAGAAATGATGGGATTCATATCATAATAATGAATCAGTGAAAAGTCATAGTCCTTTACTTCTGCTTCACCAATTTCCACGGAAAGTAGTCCTGGATTATAGGTTACGTATAGTTATGATATCCTGAAGTCCAACCGTTACTTGCAGGAATCTATAAATGAATAATACCTACATGTATGTATGTAGTACTTGAAATGTGTACTAATCGTCCCTGTTTTCTCTCAAATAAAATGATTTTCGGCTTGACGGGAGAGTGCAGGACCGTGTTAATTACGATCTGATTTTGGGCAATGGTTGGTCTGATATAGGAATTGTAACAACCGGGTGTTGATTATTAGAGTGCCGGGTTTCAGCATCCTTTTCAATTTCGTCTTCGTTAGTATTAGTTTTGTCAATAACAAAAGGATGTTTTTGGTAGTCAGTTTGTCCTGTTTCGTTGATTGTATCTTTGGCAGTGTTTGTATTGTCAACGGTATCGATATCGTCTAGTTCATGATTTAAATTGGGGTAGCTAATATCTTGAATTGTCACTGGTGAATTTGGATTAACTTCTTGTAGGAGGTGTGTTTAAATTTTTATCTACAAAGGTAATTCTTTGATTCTGATAGTTGGAGGCTTCTCCAAGGACGTCATCGAGTTGTTCCCAAAAATCGTTAGTTTCCTTAGCATTTGTATTGAGTTTGCCTTTTTTATAGATGATTTTGAAATTGTATTCGTCAAGTTTCATTTTCCATCTCATTAATTTTCCTTTAATGAATAAAGGTAGTGGAGGGGTTTATGATCTGTTATAATATTGAAGGTCTGCCCATAGAGATAAGGTCTGAAATATTTGGTAGCCCACACTATAGCTAACAACTCTTTTTCAGTAGTGCTGTAATTTCTTTCCGAATCATTTAAGGTTCGTGACGCATAAGCTACAGGCAAATCGCTACCGATTGGACCCTGACTAAGAGCTCCCCTAAGGCTACATTGCTTGCGTCAGTTGAGAAATTGAACGGTCCTGTGAAGTCTGGGTACCGAAGTATTGGGTCGTTGGTAGGTAATGTCTTACAGTTTTCGAAACATGATAAAAATTCGTCGTCGTGAACACTTTTCCGCCTTTTTGAGGCACTTAGTGAGAGGTTTTTTGAGTTGAGCGAAATTTGGAATAAATCGCCGATAATAGCCTAAGGGTGGGTTTCACCAAGGTTGTCAAATCAACAGTCCGTTATTCTCCAGCTGTAGGGTAACAGTCCGTCAAATACAGCGAATGAGCTTCAAGTTCCAATCAACAAATTTTAGTAACCAATAGCTATGAAATTTTGAAAACAAAATACTGTCAGAGTATGAGATGACATCTTGTCATTGAAACATCACCAGCTTATTGAATATTAAGAAAGTGCATATAATTCAGTCATAATTTAAAGAAATATTTGATTTTTGAATTAAATTCATGTTTTAATTACTATTGTTGATTTTTTATTCATGTTTATATTATTTTCTTCAATTGATATGCGATTTTACTGATTCAACATCACCTACTACAGATAGCCATTAAGCACCTACTTGATGACAGGCTCTACCAAAAAGTTCATAGATATTGCTTGTTTCCAAACATTCATTCATTTACTTGCCGTTCATCAGAACCATTATGGCACCTTAGACTGATATTCCCACAAAACCATTCAGGTCATTTGGTCTCCATCCATACATCCATAAAGTTGAATACTTTTCGTTGTTCAGGCACTGAACAAACATCCACACTATATTAACAGCGATTAAGAAATTCCCAAATATATGTCTTGAAGTTACCAGCAAACCTAAAACCTGCAAAAAACTACAAATTTGCCATATTTTTCTTTTTTCACGAGTACACATTCTAGGTTATATTTATATTAGACATTATTTGAATACAGCTGATTGAGTGAAGCATGTGTGGGATCTGTCAACCCTTGGTCCCAGTCACAAAACATTTATACTCTGAAGAAGGTTTAATTCCATGCTATTCCATGACAACACGGTAACTTGTGTGGTTGTCAGCGGCCATTTTTTGAGGGTGCGACATGGTTGCCAGATTGCGCATCAATATCCCGTTTCACCCCCCTGGTCCCAGGGGAGTAAGTTCCGCCAACTGTTTAAATATACTCTACTATGCTTTATAAGACGATCCGTGGAATTTTTCCCAAAATCGTTGCATAACACTTGAAAAAATGCAAATGAAAATTTAAAATTATTTCCATGACGCCGCAAAATAGCTCCGTCGGTACCTCGGGTTATACATCTTGACAGTAGGGATGTTCGATACGATCCTATATTTAGAAGTATCAATACATTTCACGAGTATCGTCATCTTTCGATCTGGACTGTGTCAGAAAGAGTGACTAACTTCAGATTACTTTTCTTATTTGTTTCCTTCCCCTGGATATCGATAATTTTATTTCAATATTTTAGACTATCGATACTTCCTAAAACGATAGAACTCGATACATAACGATACTTTTCGTGGATCTAAACGTCCCTAATCTTGACAGCTTGTCGTTCTTGTCAACTGGGCTGCAGGGTGCGATGTTGCCTTTACTATCTTACATTTTGCTAAAATCTTATGACAAATAAAAGCTTCAAATGAAATATTTACGGATATGCATAGAATTTAGAATATAAATTCATATAGCAAATTTCAGATTGTCTATGCATGGACTTAAACCGGATTTTTCGGTATTTTGACCGAAAAGAGAATATTTACCGATAACATCATTCTCCACGATTTTTCAAAATAATTTAAATATTTCTATACTTGCCGAAAAAGAGGTGAAACCAAAAATAAAGCTAAAAGTTAATTTTATGTAGTCTTCATAGTTTTATGCCCCATATCAATCGTACATACGCATACACACTCAGGCAGTCGGGCACATGAGAGGGGTGGATTTGGGTTGCCTATGATTGCGAACGCACATCCTCATCCCTTACCCCGCTTGCCCTGACTTGATGTTTGTGCATACAAAAGGTACATACTGGTAGATTACCGTCATTACCTCATAACCGGACAAGCAATAAACAAACCGAAACCTGCCTGTTTTCAAAATAAATATTTAATTAAAATGGTGAGTTCATGAGTTCAAGGGTAAAACAGACAAATATATACAATACTATAAGCAAGAATCGAAAAACGAGTTTCCAGAATGGTTGCAAAGTACTTTGAAGGAACGACCAGTATGCACATTGTAGAAGTTTTAATATAGAACTATGCCCTCAAAAAACATGTTGTGTGCGCGCCCAATATAATAACAGACGTTTTTTATGACTCAAAGGTCCTTGATCTACCACTGATCTTGGGACGGCATTTACCTTATACCGAATTCAACGACACTATTTGCCGATTCCGTTTTTTTGCCGGTTGTGCAACACTGCAGATGTGCAATTCACTTTAATTGAAAGCAATTGATAGCCATACAAGTCTTCAGTGTCTTCAGTGTATATGTTTTGTATCCCAGACGTGTTATAATAATAGAAATAAGATAATAAAACAAGGTTTGGAGATCTGTTTTCATAAATAGGTATTTTTGATTCTGACATAATATCTAGACGATGAATAATAGGTGGATGCGGATACTTTTACCAATATCGATGTTTTAGGACCCAGAAATGTAGAATGTGCTGTTTGTTTACATTTGGTGTGAATTTCTAGATAATAAATTGGCTAAAATTGTTTTTGATGTAACAAAAGATGATGAACCAGTTGGAATACGTTTTATATCCTTTTTTTTGCAAAATAGCAAAAATCCGTACATTTCTACAGGTACGTATTTTGTACAACACCCTGTACGTGATATACATACAAAACTAGGTTGCCATGCATAAACAATCGTCAAAAACAGTGAAAACATCCTACCATTTATAATAGCTAGAAAATCGACCTATTATTTGTCGCATTCCCATTGGTCCCACTTAAATAACTGACCCACTTTTGTGAATCTGGAAATTCTAGGAAAGTTATCCTAATTCTAAAGCACAAAGACATAATATTACATCTATAACGTACCCTTATTTATAAGGCAACCATTTTTTCACGACTTTATTCAACATTTCAATAGAAATAACTGATATTTAGATACCTCTAACAGCTTCTGTCAAATTGCATTTCGATAAGCTATTTTGCCATTGGTCCAAGGGACCGTCAAATATTGATGTTGGTGAAATTGGACCAATTTCACCAACATTAATATTATGGACCAATGGGAAAATACCTTATCGAAATGCAATTTGACGGAAGCTGTCAAAGGTATCTGAATATTAGTGATTTCTATTGAAATATTGAATAAAATCGTGAAAATTCGACTGTATTATAAACAAGATCACTTTTTGATCCCAAAATGATGCTTTTGTACAGAAAAAAACAGGACAACTTTCATGTATTTTGATATATGTTATAGGTTTTATTTCATTATTTGATAATGTACTCGTAAAATGCAAACAATTAAAAAAAACGGACTTACCACTAACTGTCTCAGCACTTCACCTGGTGTGTGAAAGTTTATTGAACGTATTAAAAAAATCCACTTATAACTAGGGAACACAATTTTGATACATACATTGTTTTTCTTTTTAAAATCCACACAGCACTTTTTTTTGTAGTTAAAGAAGGTGTTCAAAATGTCGTCCTCCACATTCCACACAAGCTTCATTACGACGAACCCAGTTTCTTCTTACTCTAGGTTCTCGAAGTTGTCCATTTATTATTTCAGCCGCATTAAATTTTTTTTCGCGAAGTTGTGCTTCGGTTGTTATTGGACCAGCCCCATAAACCATCCCTTTAAGTTCTTCCCCAATACGAGAAATCCATCGGATTGAGGTCAGGAGATCTTTCTGGTCATTTTCGAGGATCAGAAGCATTTCGACCGATCCAGCGATTTGGATAATGTTCATTCAAATTCTGAATGACGCCTCTAAAAATGTGTGGTGGTCCCCGTCATGAACAAACCACAAATTCTGCCTCCATTGTAATGGAATGTTGTCTAAGGTCTGTACCAAAACTTTTTTTTTACAAGACCACTTTTTGATTCCAACATGATGCTTTTGTACAGAAAAAACAGGACAACTTTCATGTATTTTGATATATGTTATAGGTTTACATTTAACAATCCGTTATCCCCCTCAGCGAATGGAAATGCGGCAAATAATAGGTCGATTTTCTAGCTGTTAAATTTGGCAGCAGATTTGGACTTTGTTAATGCATGGCACTCTCGAATTTACCAACTTCAATATACTGAAAGTTATCATTACATACCTGTTGAATAGTGTGGATTTGTCTGTATTTTGCAAGAAAATAGAATATAAAATAGGCAGGGTAATGTCGCAGCCAAATGGCAGTCACTCTTTCTGACACAGTCCGGCACGGGTATCACGTATCTTGAAAAGTGACATTATTATTATTTTTTTGACATTATGTAGGTTTTTCGCCGAGACTTTGACTTAGCACTTAGTTGTACGTGTTGCCTTAACGTCATGAGGCTTATCAATCTTTGGCTCTGATGT